ATAGTTTTATATAAATTATATTAACTATTTTAAAATTGTATTTGAAAGTACTTTGTATTTTTAGAACGTCCCCACATTTTTGACTACTTTAAATTTTTACATTTGCATAAGTTTTATAAGAAAATAAAAATACAATTAAGTACTTTTAATTTTTGCAGTATATAAATTAAAAAATATAAAAGTCGAGAATAAAAAATTTCTGCTTTTTTTCTATTTCTATTTTATTTTATAGCATTTATTTATATTTTTAACTTTTTCAAAGTTGTATTATTTTATGTATTGAATTTAATCTTTTATAATTTTTATATATTTTGCCTTCTAATAAAAGAATATATGTTTCATACAAGTTTCTAATGGCCTCTCATAATTCTTAATGTTTTCAAAAATATTTTTATAATATTTTATAATATTTTAAGATTATAGATATTTTAGAGTATAATTTTATTATTTCACTTTTATCAGATTTTTTTTAGTTATATATTTTCATTTTTGTTTTTTTACTAATTTTATAATATTTCAATTATTTATATTTTTTATTGTTTTATACGCACTTTTTTACAATTTTTGGGGCATATGAAATCTTCTAAGAAATCAACATTACAAAAAACATGTAATTTTTATACAATTTTTCCACTATATTAACTATTTTGAACTTTTTTTATTTTTAGTTTTGAGTTTTTTATTTTCAGATTTTGTATATATATTTTTAACACTTTTCTGATTTTTCATAAAAATTAAAATCCCGTTATTAATTTAACTTGCAAGTTTTCGTCTTTGATTTACTATGCATTACTTGATTTTATTATTAATTTGATTGTTTTATTATTTTCTAAGATTATATTATTTTAATTGTTTATTGTTTTCCAACTATCTTCACGTTTTTTACATTTTAGTGACTTTTTTCTATTTAAAAACATGAATCAAGTAATTCTTAAATTTTGCACAAATTTAACAAAGATTCCACGCACGCTTCCTGAGAGCATGGATTCCAGTAGGCAGTAGCTTTTCAACGTATGGTCAATTTTTGAAAACCAAAGCGTACTTGGTCTATTTTTGAAAATACTTTTCAAAACTGATATTAATGTCAATTTTTAGACTAGTTGTGTAAAATTCCCAATTTATTTCATCATTGTCTATAAGGATGTTTTTATTTGAACTGTAATTTGTCTCAAATCAGACCAGACCAAACTTGGATAGTTATAAAAATACAAAGAAACGAGACCAGACCAAACTAATTCAGACCAGACCCACAAATTACAAAACATCCTAACTTTTGATGTCCGTAACTTTTTGCCATTTACTAGTATATATTTTGATTATCCTTCATGCAAAAACTTAACAATTTAACATTGATCTATGTTCTAAAAACCAAATCAAGAAGTGACCCATCTGAACGATGGGGTCACGGCTCAGCCTAAATCCGGCGGTTTATGCCGGTCAAAGTCTGAGAAAACCGGACAACTGTTATAAAGTTTTATATTACCCGTTCTCTATTGGTTGTCCACTTTTTAAATGTAGGCGAAATGTAGGCGTAATATCTTAAAAACTTTTCCTTTATGAAATCACAAAAATAATGAACATAAGTGGCTTCAGATATTATTTATAAGCATTAGTGAGATTAACAGCTTTTATAAAAAAAAACCGGTTACCCTACTACCTTCTCTTTACACGTAAGGGTAGCTCAACTGGTAAAGCGGTGGGAAAGTTGGACAAAACGTGTGGAGGTCACAACTCTTATGTGCTGGATCGGGCCTCTGATGCCCACGGGTATAAGATCTACCACCGTTAGAATTGGTTGAGTCACTGTGATTTAGTACCTCCCAAATGCTCTGTCGGGTCGGGGTGTGGGGACCCTTGGGGTTGGGGAGTCAACCTTTTTGGGAAAATAAAAAACGGTTACTAGTAGTGTATAAACATGATAAAAAGTTTGAGTAGCATTATGCAAATAAACTAAAACATTGCAAATTTTATTCATGGTGTCAGTCTCAACCGATTCTATAATATAATTACAATTTTCTTTCATAAAAGTAGGAAAATGACCCTTATATCTATGAAGCACAACAATTACATTATACTACCTCCGTAACGTAAAGATCTTCTCACTTCCCCTTTTTAACCATAACTAAATAATCTTCTCATTTCTAAATCTTTGTATCATACCATCAAAATTTTTAAAAATAATACACTGCTACACATACTTTTTTTTATTTATCCTTCATTCCACCACACTATTTATATCATCTTTAATTTATATCCTCTATCACTATTCATAATCTCACCTACTTTCAATTTGAGAAGATTCCAACGTTACGGAGATAGTAAGTACTATTCCAATGAATAGAAAGATCTTTAGTAAAATCACGATACCTAACACGTTTAAAATTCAAATTAGCACGTCATTCCATTTTAAGTGGAGTATTACCCCAAAATCCAAATCATTCTAATAGCCCATTAACCTTATCCATCACATTACCTAATTATGCGGCTATTTAAGACGTCTTTCACACATAAATTAATAATATGACATGCACAATGTTGATAAAAGAATCTACCCATCAAAGTAGAAGAATCACATAATTCACACAATATAGCTACATCAGCAGTATTATTAGTAGCATTATAAAAATCAATCACAAACACCTTATCAAGCAAATTATATTCAATTAAAAAACATTTTATGATAATATGAACATTATCAGCATTGTTCTATAAATCACTCTAGGCATCCGATTAATTCCTGCCTAGACGCTAGACAGTGGCCGGACGCCCCAATTTTAGGCTAGGCATCTCGACTTATTGACTGGCGCCTAATAAGTGAATTAGTCGGTCGCCTAGGGCACCTAGTTTCCCACACATAGCGATTAATCGGTCGCCTATGGCATCTAGATTTGCCGAAGATTTTTTTCTTTTTCATTTTAGTTTTGTAAGAGATATATGTACCTTTAACTTTAACAACGCATATAAAGAAAACTACTAGTTGTAGATTAAGATAAAAGCTATATATGTTTGTATGTATGTATGTACTTTTAAATGTTGTTATTATTTAATACGGAGTAATATTTATTAACTCATGAAGTTAAGTAAGTAGAAATGATATATTATTAAATGTGACAACTCTATCATTCAATTAAGCATATAAATGTGTATGTGTGTGTGCATATTTTTTTACACACACAAACACAATATTACTAATTATATTTATGCATAACACTGATATAACTATAATTTCTATATCACTGGCTAGTTCCTGCCTAGACGCTAGGCGCTGGGCTGGCGCCCAACTAGCGCCTTTAAGAACTCTGATTATCACCGGTGTGTCTTTCATTAAAATATCGAAGAACGATAACTCGTTTATACATTTGTCAATCATTACCAATCCAATATAAATCACACCCAAATAATACAAGTGATGATATGAGTCTTCCCATATATCACTACGGCACTGAAAAACAGTCACGCACCCATTAAAATTTGCAAAAAAATGATTTCATTTTCCCTTTTCCAAAAGATATTGTTTAATAACTTGTTTTTAATGGTTTTGCGACTATCCTCTCTAAAAACCAGTGGACGGCACCTAGGGTTTTATCCTAAGGTTGAGTAGAGTTTTCCGGAGGCATCGATAGAAGGCTAGTCCGGAAATTTGTTCTAACGCTAGCATAACATAGTGGCTGGGTAAGCCTATATTCGTTGGTTCGCTCGACATAAGAGGAAGGCATCGTTTTCGTGAAGGCTCCAAATTGTCGGCCAAGACAGGTTTTTTCGCATAACGTCAACGATGGATGATCGTAATGGATGATCGAGGGGTTGGCTCAAGCCTATGGTAAAATGGAAATGGATGAAGAGGATGAGATACTATTGGTGGATCGCTTCGGTAAAATATTTCTTGTGCATCACAGACCAATATTTTGGTAAAATCGCAATGGAACGCTCATGTACGAAGGTTGTTGGGATTCCAATATAGCTTCACGGTGACGAACGAGAGATTGAGTGGATGGTTTTGCTTGATATGGTATGGATAATTCTAGATTCAAGTAGTGGAGGAAGAAGATGAATTGTTGATGATCCATCCCCCTCCTGAACCGCTGCTTTGGACGAACAGTATGGCTAAGGTTTGGAAGATGACGCTTAAAATTTGGATTCGACCACTCCATTGGTTCATCATATTTAATTCAATTTTGTTTTATTCAATTTAGTTGTTTAATTATGAACTATGTTCTTATCGTTACTCTTGACTTTGGGGGAAGTAAGTTTATCTTTTGGCTTAGGTTGTTAGCTAGTAATTTGTGTGGAAGCAATCAGGTTGCTTTGGCCGATAATAGCTCAAAACTCTCGCATGTTCAACTATTAGTTAGTTAGTCTCACTTATTTTTGGGTGGACTATTTTATGCCTGATCAGGGAGTGAGGGGGCTTATTGGATATATGATCATTATGATGTTTAGGGGGGATTTGGAATGCTGTTGTGATTGGTTGTTAGTTACTGTGATTGTAATATAAGTGATCTTCTTTCAAATTAAAAAAATGATTTTTGCCACTAGTTTATAAATTGTGGATTTAATGAATCCTGAACACAAGACTTTAAGAAAAAATAAGGAGCAGTTTTTTTTCACAATTTAACTCAGACATAGCTTTTAAATGTTGGTCATCATTATTATGTAACTAATACTTCAAATGATAATAAAGGAATTAAAATTTAAGTAATATGATAATGTGACTAATATTAAATTGCAACTATATTACATATGCAAGTTTGTGAAACTTATCTTACACGTCATTCAAGTTTAGGGTATTTAAATTATTTTCCCCAATTTAAAAATAGGATAGATTTATGAATTTGACAATAGTTGAGAACATATTAAGCAAATAATCCTTTTGTTAGAATAAAATTCAACGCGGAAAATTAAAAATTACATTTGTTAATGAAAATTTGATTAATAAGATTGATGAGCTGAAAGTTTTACCAAATGAATTGCATTTAAATATTTAAATGTTTTGGCAGTACCAGGTTTTAAAGATGACAGTATTTTCCAAATTTGACAATAATTACTCCTATTTTGGGAATAAAAACATAACAGTCCTATTTTGGAATTTTCAAACGTTTAAGCACTTTGTAATATTTTTCGAACACATTATTTTCCACAATAATTGGTTTTCTTAAACAAAGTTATCATCTAGAGAATGAGATTGAAGGAAAAACTTGTCCTAGTCAACGGCTCATCGCAGCAGCTCTTGGAAACGATGACCTGCAAAGAAAAATTGTTGTCCCGCTCCAAAATATGCAATTGGATTGTCTTTCTAATTAATATTTGGTGTGGCACAAAAAGACAGCATATTCATATGGCATAAAATATAAAGAATAAATATAACTGTGATACCTGTAAGTGAAAGAGTTGAATAAATTGAAAATAGGCAAAGGAAAAAAATGGGAAAAGGGGAAATCATGCGGATAACAAGGGATGAAAGTGGATGAAGCAAAACTAAAAGACAGAAAAATACGAAAGCCGAATGATGCTTCAGCAGACCCCTCAAATACTTTCGTGAAGTCTCTCTTTTGAAAAGTTTGTCTATTCAATTTTTCAAAACCTTTTGAAAATAAGGATAGCTTTTTTTGTTGCAAAGAAAGACAATTAAAAAGAAAAACTTTCTTCTGGTCATCACATGTAAAATTGATCTTGTGAAACATTTATTAAAAGAATGACAACATCTGATGGGAAGAATATAGCACTCATCTTTCTTCTCATACCTTGTTATGCTGCATTAGAGACAAGAACAGAAGAAGCAGAAGCTCTACTCAAATGGAAGAGCAACCTGTTCACATCCTCTCCATCTTCTTCACTCCATTCATGGTCACTTTCCAACATAACACATCTTCGTAAATGGAAGGGCATTGTATGCAATAATGACGGGGCTGTTTCAAAAATCGACCTTTCTAATGAAGGCATATCTGGGACTCTTGAACAGCTCAAATTCACTTCTTTTACAAGCCTCAAGCATTTCAACATCAGTGGGAACAACTTCACAAGATCAATCCCCCCCTCCATCGGAGATTTGTCAAGCTTGGTTTTCCTGGACATGAGCAGCAATCAGTTTGTTGGAGCCATACCGGCTGAGATTGGGAACTTAGTGGAGCTTCATTACCTCAGACTTTACGACAACAACATTACTGGCATTGTACCAAGTGAAATTGGGAATCTCCAAAAGGTAGAACTCCCTCTTTATTTTTCCTTTTTTTCTTTTTTATTTAGAACTCCCTCAATCCCTAAGGCTAGTTAGATCTTGGAAAATACTAGGGAAATGAAAGAAAATGCTAAGAAATTGAGGTAGTGTAATATTTCTAATGTTTTTACTTTTGTATATATTTCTAATCATCCAAATAATAAAACTAAGGTGAAATCAGTGTATGAACTCCAGTTCTTTATCCAAATTTGAATTTACAATCCATTTCAAAAACATTAATACTTTCACTATAAATATTAAGTTTATGCCCCCATTTTTAATAGATTTTAGACTTTCGGGATGCTCATATTCATTATTTTGAATTTGTGGCGCAAACTCAAATTTGGCTTTAAAATGGGGCAAATTAACTTGGGAATATGATTGGAATAAAGCAAAATGCTCATCACCATTCAAACATCTTAAAACGACTCACTATTTTTTGACTTGAAAATATGATGGAATAAAGCAAAATGACTCACTAAATTGTCTGCGCTTCTTTGTTATAAAGCAGCAGCAGTCAGTCAATGCAATTTTCGACGCAATTTTTGTTGTGGCTCATTCGTAAACAATCTCTTTGTGCTTTAGTACAGGGTAAAACTGTATACATCTGACCCCCTTACCCCACCATAGGTGGGAGCCTTTGCGGCACTGGGTTAATGATGATGATGAGTAAGAGTCTGACTGGTCTAAATTTCTTATGTGGATGATATTTTTACTTATGTGGGGTGTTTATCCTTTATAGGTATGGTTCTTGGACCTAGGAGGAAATTTCTTGCAGGCTCCAGCTGACTGGTCTAAATTTAAGAGCTTTCCAGTTCTTAAACATCTCAGTTTCACACCAAATCAGTTAAGATCAGGGTTCCCTGATTTCATTCTAGGTTGTCGGAACTTGACATATCTTGAATTGTCTATGAACCATTTGAATGGGCCTATCCCGGTGTCATTGTTCACAAATTTGAAGAAGCTTGAGCATCTTGATCTCTCTCTGAATGAATTTTCAGGAGTAATCCCATCTAATATTTCCGAACTCAAAGCTCTTAAACTCCTTGATTTAAGCACGAACCGTCTCAATTCAACTATTCCATTAGAGCTTGGTCTCTGCACTGATCTAACTTATCTGTCTCTGACAGAAAATTCACTCTATGGACCATTACCTTCATCTCTGCCGTCATTGAACAAGTTGGTAATGTTAGACTTGTCAGAGAATCTTCTTTCTGGTGATATTCCATCCCAAATTATCTCAAACTTGACAAACCTTGAAAACCTCTACTTGTACCAAAACCAGTTCACAGGCACTATTCCAGCAGAGATAGGAAACTTGGCGAATTTGGTTGAACTAGACCTGTCAGCAAATACCCTGTCTGGTCAAATCCCAAAGACAATCGGAAACCTGACAAGTCTAAATTTTCTAGGCCTTTGGATCAACCAGCTCAGTGGAACCCTTCCGTCTGAGATTGGGAAGCTTACTTCAGTCAATTTCATTGATTTGGGTGAAAACAGATTGCATGGAGAGATACCTGTCACCATTTCAAATCTCACGAGTTTGAAGATTATTTATATGTATAGTAATAACTTCAAAGGCAATATTCCAAGAGCCTTTGGAAGTAAGAGTCCCCATTTAACCAATGTTAGCTTTGCAAATAACAACCTTTCAGGTAGTCTACCACCTAAACTATGCAGTGGTTTTGCTCTTCAACATTTGACAGTTCATGGGAACCAATTCAGTGGGGAGTTGCCTAGTTGCATCAAGAAATGCAAAAAACTTCACAGAGTAAGGCTTGAAGGAAATAAATTCGAGGGGGACATTTCACAAGCATTTGGTGTGCACCCAATTCTCGATTTTATGTCTCTGAACAATAATCGGTTTGGGGGTGAACTCAAATCAAACTGGGTACAATGCAAGAAGCTCACTAACCTGGGAATGTCGGGGAACAACATTTGCGGTCATATTCCACCTGAATTAGGTAAGCTGACTCAGCTCCATGTCCTTACCTTGGATGCAAATGAATTGATAGGGGAGATTCCTCCAGAACTTGGAAACTTGCGACAGTTGCTAACTCTCAACTTGAGCAAGAATAATTTGACTGGACAAATCCCTAGGAATGTTGGAAACTTAACAAGCCTCGAGAATCTTGATCTTTCGAATAACAACCTGAATGGAGAAGTCCCAGGAGAGCTTGGAAATTGTGAGAGCTTATTGAGCTTGAATCTCAGGAACAACATCCTATCTGGTGAAATTCCCCCTCAGCTTGGAAGCATACACGGATTGAGTATTCTATTGGACCTTAGCAATAACTCAATTTCTGGTACAATCCCGTCAAATCTGGAAGTGCTTGTTGCACTGGAGAATCTGAACCTTTCACACAACCGACTCTCTGGTCAAATCCCAGCAACTCTATCTAGGATGGTGAGCTTGCAAGTAATGGATTTCTCATACAACAATTTGTCTGGTCCAATTCCTTCTGAGGGAAAATTTCATAGTGCAAAAGGAAGTAGCTTTATTGGGAACTACGATCTGTGTGGAAATGTAGATGGGTTTAGCCCCTGTAATCAAGAAGTTGGAAGGCTCGAAAATGGATATGATAAGAGAAGAGGGTTCATCGGCGTCCTCATTGCAATAGTGGGCTTTGTGCTTTTGGCAATCAGTGCAACTCTTCTTCTTCGTTTTCATAGAAGGAGAAAGGAGCAGGCTGAGCCATTTCCAACAATCCAGGTGTATCCCTAATAGTAGTTGCCTAGTTGGTTGGCATCGATCCGGAGCATGCCAAAATGAGCAAATGTTGTGAAAAGAGTTCAGACTAGATTTATCCTAATGCAGGACATATATTAGCGTGTAGTTATTTGATTTTATTTATTAACACTATTAGTTAATGAGTGAATGAATGCAAAACGTATAGCTGTGAAGCTGTGATACACAAATAATTATTATCAAGGGACAAATGCTTATGAATCATAATTGGTACAATTCCTTTTATAGAATAAGGGAAAAATAAAGCATACAATAAAATTCACAAGACTAAATATTTCGAAACACTTCCTTGTAAACAACATCGATAGTGTGATAGTTTTTCCCCATCTTCATTTTGATGAAAACGTTAGATGATTTGTTGTGATGAGGCCACGAAACTTCCTGAACATTTTGATCACCAATTTTTGTACACAAAAAAGAATTACATCTATCTTAAAAAATTATTAAGATAAATATATGATATGAATTTATTCATTTTATTTTTATCATTATACATTTTAATAATTAAAATAATATTTATAATAAATATAAATATAATGAAGCCAACAATTTTATCATTAAAATTTGGATAAAACACAGCCTAATTTGTTATTTTTAAGAAAGTAAGTAAAATAAAATACAGACCTTTTAATGTTGGACCCTTGCAGTCTTACCCAATACCTAAGAGGGGTATATTTTGGATACATCAGTAAGGTTATATACAGAGATATACCTACGTATTAAATATGGACACTCGCCCATACATCAGATGACTTAGCATTACCCGCCTCCTCCGTATTTAATCTTCAGTACGGAGTATTATATAATACGGAGTAGTGAATTGTGTTTGTAAACAACATTATACTCTATTATACTCTCAAGTACGGGGTATATAACATTATACGTATAATTTTATAATCTGGAGCATAAAACTGTTTTTATTGTATTTTTCAACCTGAAAACTTAAATTTGTAATCTCAACAATAAGTGTGTATCCTTTAAAAAGAAACTATAAGAAGTGTGTGCTGGGTTTTTCCAAACTGCTAATTGTGAACTGTTTTTGTGTACAACAATATACTCTGTTTGTTAGCTTAAATACAAACGAAGAATTCAGATAATATTGGTTTTAAAACTATCTGGTCTTACATATTCTAGATTTCTAGTGAAATTGTTGAAGGAGTCATCTTTAGGCTGTTATAGAGTACTTTTTTCAAGCCCAGTTCTAGTTAGTAAAGGAGACATAGTTTGTCCATGGAAAACTGAAGCAAGTAGATTTTAATCCTTCTTATCCTCTTCCACGACAGATTCTTCCTCATACTTCATGGTAGAAAAGTAAACAAAAAATAGATTGCTAATCTTTCTCCAAAATATTCACCTACGAAAAGACACTACGAATTTACATTTTTCATACTGTTTTCCTCGCACTTGGCTGCAGAAGAGTGAACAAATTAAACTTTTATCCAAGTCACTACGAATTTACATTTTTCAAACATGGCTTAAATGACTCCATCCAAATGAAAAACTTATATCTCAGTAGTGTATAAGCACAAGTTCAAAGAACAGAGCATAGATATCAAAATACCAATCAAGAAAGCCCAAAGAGATTTTAGAAGCCAACCTAGTAAACATGAGCCAATATCAGTGGCAAAGATAAGGGTTCTTAATATATAAGAAGTTTTTAATAGAATTAATTCAGTTTATTAAGTATAATAAACAAAACAACAAAGATGAAGTATATACATATAGGCATAATTCTTCAAAACTATATCAATAGAATTTATAATTCTTAAATATAAATATTAGGGATGTTAATAACATCACAAATTATTATCGTATCAAGTAACTGGATGCATAAAAAAGTATTTTCGCATTTGTAAATGGAAGATTTCAAGTTTTCCTACCGTAATGTCAGTTTGTTCATCACAAATCATTTAATCCTATGAAAATTGGGAATTAGATGAAGATGATGTTAAAATGAATTACAAAGAACCAATTGACCTTGCTTAAAACTTGCAAAGAAGACATAAGATGGCAATGAACACTCTTCACAAAGAAAAAGAAGAGCAGTAGTCTTATTTACCAAAAAAACTGTAAAATACATATAAGTTAATACCGTATCAGAATGCTCCAATAATTAATTGCCTCCTTTTGCACTCTCAAATCCCAGAAGATCACTTAGATACTACAATGTTTACAGTCAACCTTTAATTTCTAGATAAAACTGCATACTCCCCGTTGAGTTTAAGAAATCCCACATGCATTCCACTTCATACTATATCAGGAAAGATGAAATATCTGTTGTAGAGCTACAAAGAACCTGGATAGGAAAAGAGTTCCATCCTCCCCTGGCTCTCACCATGTAAAGAGAACATCTAATTGAAGCTCGATAAGAATCTTCGGAAATGGATGAAGCTTGATAGACTGGCCCGAGAAATTGAGGAGGCGGATCGGGAAATGGAGGAGAAGCCGGAATGGGGCGAAGGGTGGAAATAGAAGACCTCGCAGAAAGAAGAAGTTAATCGGGCGAGAACAAAGAAAGGAAGAGTGAAGAGAAGGACGGTCAGCCTCTCAGAGAAATAAGATTGACGGTTAGTTGCAGGACGTACTTTGGGCTGAGACACGGTCAGCGAATCAGCTGCTTGGCGGACTGGCTCTCTGCGTAGCTCCGGCTCTCCAGCTTGTCCGTTCTCTGCCTACTCGCAAGATGATTTGGCCGGTTTCCCTTCCGCTCCGGGCGTCATCTTTGTTCGCCATCCCCAAGATCGGAAAAACATGTTGATGAGGCTACCGTCGCTGAGCCAATTGTCACCACCATCGCACACTACTCTTCATCCACGCAAGATGCTTTGCCAAGAATCTAAGATATAAAGAAGACATTTACTCCGTATGATTTTTTAGAGAGAATGGACGGCACTTGACCAGCCATCAAATAGTACTCTGACAAACCTTTCGGACTACCCACCTTTTTTTCGATAGCTTCCTCCGGAATACATTATCAATTTTTGGACAGGTCTTTGCTCATGATGGTGACATTTTTGAGCGGGAAATTTGACCTCAATTCCACCTCTTATTATATAGAGGTAGATTAGAACTGTCTTTCCTATTTTAGTCAGTTCTTTTGATGCTTAGCTACGCGATAACCATTAATAAGAGTCAGTGATAATTCTTGGAGAGGGTCAGTGTTTTCTTACGTCGTCCGTTTTCACTCATGGACAATGTTAAAGTTTATTATATGTGATGATGAAAGAAAATTGACCAATAAAAACTTTAAATGTTGTTTACAAGGAAGTATATAATAATTTGTAAGTTTTTATCTTCATTTACTTTTGTTAGAAACAATACATACGTTGATGTGTCTTTACACAACATTTCTTCATATAGCCAAATAATTTATTGCTTAGGGCATCCACATCCTTGAATTATTTTTGGGATCATTTTGATGATGCGGAGGATTTTTTGCGGGATCATAGATGAGGAGTTGAGATTATTTTATGAGATTATTTGATAAAATAATCTTGTATCAAATTCTAAAGCTGGATTATTTTGAGATTATTTCCAACTTCTAGGCATTTACTCATAATTATGGTGATGGCTAGTTTTGTAGTTCGTGCATGCTCATGCTCCTATCCAAGGTAAATTAAGATCATGAATGAGGAGAAATTTATTGATTTGGAGATTATTTGAGATTATCTTTGATAGAGTATATGGGCCTGGACCCCATGGCCCACGTACTCAAGTCAACGACGACCAGAAGAACACCCACGTGGCCCCCTTCGGCCAGTGGGCCCGCATCGGCCAGAAACCAAACCGGCCCGGGAAGCACGCATGGACTCCCGGGACCGCATCGGCCCATAGACCGCATCGGCCATGGGGCCGCATCGGCCAAAGACATCGCATCGGGCAGACTTCGGCCGGGCAGAATGCATCTCTCTACTTTATTTACTAAGTATTGTACACAGCCCATTAGTGGCCCTATTTCGCCCAAAGAAGGCATGATTATTGTAATGGGCCTCCTAAGCCCATGGCTAGGAGTCGAAATCCACATTTTTTCCTATAAATAGACCCCTTGGGGCTAGTTATAAGGGGTTGAGAAATATAATTACCCACTTTCTCTCTCTAGCTCTCACTTCTCTCTAGAATTAATACTCTATCATTTGGTGCTCTCATTGAGAGCCTAGAACAGATCAAGTGAGTACCCTTCGTCGCTACCAGACACTACCACTAGCTATGACAAGAACTAGGTCAAAGAACACCGGTAGGAACGCCCCTCTGAACCAGGAAGGGCAGGGAAACGTTGCTGACAACGTCCCCAATGATCTCATCATCCAGGATGAGAATGCTCAGGAGGTCGAGCACGCGACGGCTGACCTTCGCGTCCAGCTCAACAGGACTGCTCCGGATGCTCGCATCGGACTTGAAGACAGACGCAATGCTGATCGCACTTCGGGCCAGCAGGCCTCTCACCCTGCTGCTCCCCAGATCAACCCGGCCGCATTATCGGCCATTGTTGCGAGCATCCTCCAGGACCCCAACGTCGTCAGCGCTCTTGTCGCAAAGACCGGGGGAAACAACACTACTGTAACGGGGGAGGTCGCGACGGTGCCACCGCCGCCACCTCGTCCACAAGGCGTCACATTCTTCGGCGACAACGAGGATGTCCTCGCCGTGGACACCCACTCCCATACCGCCTCTCCTACCCGGGATACACCGGCCCAACCTCGCGGTAAAATCTCGGCCTTCAACAGGCTGGGTGACATTGCGAGCCGTCGGGTACCTACGGGAAGAGTTGCGGATCGGTTGGGTGGTCGCGAGCCGGGATCACCAAAGGAAAGCTTCGGGTCCGTTTCCCGGACAACGGATCGGCCCCGACCGGACAAAGGCAAAGGAAAGCTGAATGATGACGATGCGCGCCACCAAATCAACCTGGCCCACGCGGCCCGGATCCAGACCCCTCTAGGCGGCGCCGCGGCCAACACGGACCCAAGGGATGAGATCATCGCCCGCTTAGAGAAGCGCCTCGCTGATATGGAGGCCCGGGAGGCCGCAGGGCGCGCATCGGCCCATACATCCCAGCATCCCAACTACGACGCGCTCCTGCACAAGG